GAACTCCTTTTGTCTCGACTTCATCTCAAGTTACGGAAAGTTCAAGTTCATACGTTACCCATTTGATTGTCGGAGACGTCATTTCTACAGCAACGGAGGGCTTTTCCTTGACAGACAGATACGTTTATAATCGTTCAACAAGCCACAAGTGACTCCACTTTTTAAAGGTTGCTTTTTTTTTTTTTTACAAAACAACATCATAGGCAATTAACATTTTTAAAATACATGCAGCATAACACAAATAAATTCTACATTAAATGAATACATTTCAAGGTAGTAGGTTAAAACTGGACAAGTTATGGGGAAAAAAACCGAAGTTCAGATGGAAGTTTTAAATGTCCTTTGTCAACACTGGAAAATTGTTGCCTGATAAAGTACCTTGCAAAAATATTAACGCCATTTTGTTATACAACTTATTTTTAAACAATCTTTATTGAACAAGATTTTGTTATATAACTACAAGTTAGACACCGAGTGAAATGACCCATCTATTTTTTTATTCGCTGGATCCGCACAAAGTATTCTAGCTTTGACGTGAAAATGTAAAATTGACTTGGGCAGTGCATTTGTTAGAAGCCGCGATGCAACTCGTTACCTTCAGAAATCAATTAGTAAAATGATGCCATCCAGGTGTCATATATCTGTCAATACGGAAAAAAACGGACTTCAATGATACAAACACGTAATAAAGAGAAAAAAAACCCGAAAAAACCCCCCCCCACACTCATCACTTAATAGTGACGTTGGAACACACCACTTTTCAACATGAATTCAACCGTTTCCACATCAGTCTTTTCCAGAAACGAAACACAGCGCCATTGTTTTTTTTTTGTTTTGTTTTGTTTTTTGCTTTACAATTTCAATAGCGTGGCTGAGAGCGGATAGCCTTACATTGCATCGCCATTTGCGGCATGCAGCACACTGGCACTTGCACTCACCATTCCAAGTCTGCTTGAGTGTTGACGATGTCCTCTCCGCTCAAAAGGTGCGAGTGGCCGTCGTTTCCGAGTGCTTTCTTAAACCGGGCTTTTCCACGCGTTCTATGGGTCAGATAACCGAGGGAATTATGGGTATGTCTGAAAGTTAATGAGTGCAAGTGCCAATGTGCTGTATGCTGCAAATTGCGATGCAGTTTTTTTAATAGTATCAAGAGGAGTGTTTAAAAGTATCATCACCCCCCCCCAATTATTTATAAAAATGGCCATGTTGCTTAATGAATAATATCTGTACCCAAGAAGACACGAAATCAATCAGAGCAGCAATTTCCGAATCAATCAGAGCAGCAATTTCCGACATGCCAGTGTGAAGCAACCTTTTTCCTGATCATGCCTGTTCAATTTTTAATCTACCAATTAAAAAAAAATCAATTGGGCATTCAGTCAAATTAACTTGCGCACAGACTAAAACAAACAGGACGTACAATCGTTCGACATCATTATGATAAACTGCAACCTGAGACCTCAGAAATATATGTAAGGATTTAATTAAAACAATCATAACTTAATGTTGTCTCCCACTCCATTTTTTAGGGGGCCGTGGCAACAATCTATAACAGTGGTCCCCAACCTTTTTTGCCCCACGGACCGGTTTCATGTCAGGGACCGGCCTTTAAGGCCGGATAGATACAACGATATAATATGATATGAACTGCATGAAAAGTGTGGTATTTTCGAAACATAATAATAAACACGAATCATGACACCAGAAACTCCTATCTGACCGCAACGTTCTCTGGTTACCATGGTAACGATTAAACGTGCCTTCAAAATAAGACACGACACAAATAAAAAGTGCATGAATAATACGACTCAGACTCACCATTGCCGATTATTATGCAGAGTAGGCTTAGTGCGTGTGAATCTCCCGTTGAGATAAAGCCGTATTTGAAATAGTACTCCTGATACTGTCTATTAAATGCAGCCTTCTCTTTCTTGAAAGTCGTAGGCTCCTCTTGTTTCCTGGCTGAGCCTTTTCCCCTTCCCGAAAAAAAACTTTCAAAGACGTTTTTTTTTTTAAATTCATTTCGCCAGCTCCTGAGTTTTATTTAACTTTGTTAAAGCAGAAGCTGTTGTGAAAGCGCTGTTTAAATCAGTATGTATTGTATTAACCTATCACGTGACTGAGAAGCGCGCCTTTATCTGCGTCAAGAGTGACATATTGTAGACGGATGTAACAGAAGAGCCGGTAAATTTTCAAAATAAAACATCCGATTCCGAAATTAATAAAACGAGTTATTTATTCTTTCTGTGCGGCCCGGCACCAAATGATCTATGAAGACTGGTTTATATTCCTAACAATGTGTTGACATGAGTTTGTGCCTCTTAAATTTGTGTACGCTCACCTCAGTGGAAGGAGATGTCAAACATTGCCTAAAACTCACTAGCGTTGGAGAGCACATTGGCATGTAGTATTGTGTATGGCACCGGCCATTGATGGCTGTTTGGGCCGAACGTAAAACCGCAAATTCCTGTATGGTCCACCAATCTTTCTAATTCTGAACAAGTGAAATTAAAAAGCTCAAGCTATGGAGAGCAAAACATTTTTATTACTAACACTGGAATAGCTCAATTTGTATATTATTATACAGAACCTAACTGCTTTACAAAAACAAAATGATACAATATCACATGTATATACAGTGTAGTAAATATACCATCTCAAAGTGTACACAAAGTATTTACAAGCTGTCACACATACTGCATTAAAAACTCAACTCAGGCTAGTACACTACTGACAATTTTGCATAACATCAAATAAAACATGCCACATGTTTAGGTTTTCTTTCCTAACCGATGACCATTTTTAAATTAGTGCAAGTCAACCACTTGGTTAAGAGGTTACGGACACATCATCCTCACCGTTTTCATTCATACAAAAGCAAAAACTTAAAACAACCTGGTTACATGTGGCTCAAAGAAAACTGTGTTGTGAAAATTGTTCTGGACGTTTTTTTTGATTAAGCGGCAGGCAATCGACAATTTTAAGAACTTTTCGGGAGCACTGCAAGCAAATTGAAAAGTAACTGAGATCAGTATGTTCAATGTTATGGTGGGAATGAGAGAAGAGATGATCGTTTAACTGCTTGTTTATTTTTCCGACGTCAAATCCTAGTCTCTGCTAAATTGTTCGCACGTTTTGGAGATTAAGATTGGAGGCATTTAGTCCATAGAATAAAAACAAAAACAAAAAAACAACACTTCCCCTCATTTCAATTTTTACACCATTCCAATTATATTGATTCAGGGTTTGATGCAGCTATTACTTTACTTCTAAAATCAGAAACAATTTTAAAAGAAAAGATTCCGCTTCACACAGTGGTGACATGCAGAGACCATTTAACCATTTGCCCCAAATTCATGTGTTTAACATTAGTATCACGAGGGATGTGCAGAAAGATCGAAGCTATTTGCGCAAAACTGAGTCGACTATTCTGCTGTAACCCCCAAAACATGACGTCAGCTTTAGGAAGCTGAGCAACATCACAGTTTAAATGAAATAGCTACAGTATTTTGCACATTCTGAAGGCAAGGTTACCAGTGAAATGTCTTTTTTTTTTTTTTGCTTTATGACAAGTTGGTTTGAAGCATACTGAGTGTTTGTGTAGAGGGCCAATTGTAACCCTAGATCATACAAATAAGAAGTTGATGATTATTGCCTAACAATTTTTTGTTGTCACCGTGTACTGTAAACAAATTACAAGTGTACATTGCTGGGGGGGAAAAAAAATACGGATCGCGGCCCAAAAAACCCCAAAAAAAAAAAAAAAAAAAAAGTTAGGCAAGATAAACACATCGCTCAGAGCTATTTACAAAGTTGTGTTCCTTGCGAACAGTATTTGTGTAGCACTATCTAGCTGTACAGGATTAAATACTTTCAGGCAATCGGGTATATGGATGATTGTATAGCTGACGATCACTGGAGGCCAGTTGTGATGGCAACATTGCACCTTGGTAATTAGTACCTGTTCTTTGTCCCCACCGAGGTTTGACATTTACAAATTGTACACACTGAAAATCCTGACAAAGGCACACCATGGAGAAAACGTCAACATCTTCCTTAACGTCAGGACAAGTTGTTTTAGTCTCTGCAAAACATGTACATGACTTCAGCGTCCGAGCAGGCCTGGCGGGAGGGTCCAGTTTTACAGATTACATTTGGTCCATGTTGCCATTTCATCAAAGGATGGCCAAAAGAACGCATATTTTTCAGAGGGCAAGAAGCGTCCCCGTGTAGCCTTTTTTCAGTCCAAACTGGACTCGTATTAGCATCATCGTTTTGTACGGGACCTTTGGGGACTGCCAACGAGCTGAGCTTCTCTTTGACCAGATCCTGTCCTGACCGTCGAAAATCATCTCGAGCAGCACAAGAGGTAAGCTAATATTGCCTCGCCTGTCCCGCAAAAGCAACTATGATGGAGGAGGAGGATTTCAAACAGTAAAAATGTGGTAAAAAGTTATATGCAGCATGAGGGAGGCCAGGCTTGGCAGATGGGTGGAGTTTAAGAAGAGGAGGAGGAGCAGGAGGAGGAGGGAAGGAGGGGACTGCAGGGATTGCACGGCCCATCAAACGATCTTTTTGATGCTGGTTCTCTTGAAGCTGCCGGAGCTGCGTTGCTTCTGGACCTGGCTTGCCGAGCCGTGGCGAGTCCGACCGCCGCTGGACAGAGCTGAGCTGGGGGACAACTGGACATTCTCCTTATCCACACCTACAGAGAAATGCAGGAAAGGATTAATTACATTTACCTTACCTTTGCATCTTTGTTTGACAGTGAGGCCGCCGGGTTTCCAAACCTGAATATTTGGTCATATTAACACATATCAGAACACCTTCATTGAAAGGAACATTCTGTTCTGTGTGTTCTAATCGCAAGGAATCTTGGTCTTTGGAGTACAGGAAGTACTTGTCTGCGTCTGGCCACGGACTACACATCCGGCCAGGACTGAAAGGACAAACGATGCGCTGTACTCGCCATAGAAAGAAGCGAAGCCACAGGCTTGCTAAGTCAGCCTAACTTGAATATATTGTTTTTACCGCAGCAGTTTCACATTATTTTCTCTCTCTACGGCGAAAATGCCACGTTGTCTAATATATACGTACGCGCGTGTGTATGGGCGCGTTTGGAAAGATGCTCCGGGTGCGCACTGGTTCACTCTGACGATTCAGAAACGCAAGAGCGTTGCTGATATTTGCCGTTAGTTTATCCAGAGTGCACCAAAAACGGAGTGCTGGTGTGGGCACTAGTAAATTAAAGGGAGCGAAGCGCTTCTCCAAAAACACCCACTCTCAGATCAGTGGTCGGGCATCGGAATTTTGACCTGAACCTGAATAATGATGGCATGTAAATGTAGTCATTTAAATTACTCTGATAATCAAACCAATTTTTGACAGACTGCGGCTGTTTTGCTTCTTCAAAACATGGACACCTTACTATAATTAATGGAACATTAATTCTGCTGTAAACCAGATAATCCTGCTGTTCATCTGGCCATCATATAATGGAGAAAAACAGAAGTTGCTTAGTGGACGAGTCAAAGTCCAGACTACTATCCAGTTGGGATACTGTTGTATGACTTTAAATGGGCAATTCGGGCTCAAAATCCTTCTAATATGACACAATTTAAACAATTCTGCGAAGACCAGTGGGCCGAATTCCTCCAAAGCGAAAGCAAAATGGGGAAAAGTGTTTCACGGCACTCGAGATCCATTAGTTTTAATCCAGCCTTCTTAAACTTTTTTCTGTACATCATGCTTCACAACATTACACCAAATCGATATGTGGAAGGAAGCATTAGTGTGCGTGCGTGTGACCTGGTGAGTGTTGCGAGGTGGCCAGTGAGGTCATGGAGTTCGACAGGTTGAGGTTGGCAGTGATGCTGAGCTGGCTCTGGCTGGTGGGGGGATAAGGGGAAGTGGGCGTCCGCAGCTGCTCCTCCCCTCGCTCCTCCTCAGCTGCTGGCAGGTAGCTGTCAATCAATGCCTCCAGGAACTTGACGATCAGCTCGGCATAGTCTGGAATTTGGGTTTGCTGTAGAGCGGAGACAGGTGTGGGGAGAAAATTTAATGCCCCTAAAGATTCAGTGTGAGGACAGTCAATCAAGTCCTGGACACCCCAAACCAACAAGCAAGCAAACAACTCATGTTGTCAATGTCATTATTGTGTGATTTCAATGTTGTGTTTTCAATTCGCTGTACAGTCCCACCCAAAAATATTGGAAGGAAAAAGGTAAAGTCCTTTGTTTTTGTTATATACTGAAGACATTTGGGTTTCAGATGAAAAAAATGAAAATGTTGGATATCTTAACTTCGGTCTCATTCATCTTTTGATCTGAAACCCAAATATCTTTACATACAAAAAATTAAAATAAAATAAAGCAATTCACCTTGCCGTTCCAATACCGGAAGCGACTCTATCAGATAAGAAAACCTTTATTTGTCTTACAATGAAGAAATTCACATTCGTATGTCCCAGTTAAAAGTTTTAAATGCCTCCTACATAGTAACATGCAACGCTTTGGCAAGCATACAAACCTAAGCATATCGTAGATGGCCAAATTAAAATACAGTATAGCAAGAATCTCTCTCACCTTTGAGAAAGGACCAGCAAATCTCCAAAGTCCATTAAACCCAAAACCTGTGAAATGAAAGGAGCAAGGGCAATGTGAGGAAGCAAGTGAGAGACAGAGTTGGGGGGTTTGAATGTAACTTGGTTTGCATCTCAGTGAATCAACTTACACATTTGAAATAATGTCACGTCGAGACACAGTGCAGAATTGAACACATGAGGGCCACGAGGATATCTTACTTTGCAAATAGGAGGGCTGGTACTGTGGCGGCGACTCCTCATGATACACCACACTTTGGACGATGCCGTGTACAGGGTTCAGGAGGTTTGTGTCCTGGCACATGGACAGCACAGTGTTGATCTTCGAGTCCAGCAAGTTGTGACTAAGGAGATCAAATACACATCGGCGTGAACTTCATCTTACACGAGATGTTTGATCATGATCAAACCCCACGGTGCAGAGTGAATGGTTTTCTTTTCTTCTGTGACATCTAAACTCTGACAAATTGGTGTTCGCCATCTGTTTATTTGACCTAGCTCAAGTTTGGAAGCAAACTGATGATGTTCACTCCAGCGGGGATCAAGGGTGATGGAAATCCTTTCATGAATAGGGTCTGTCGTTAAGTTTAAAGATCGAAATCTAGCATACACTTTCCCTTTTTCTAAATACGTGACGAAAAGAAAAAAACAACCCCCCCCCAAAAAAAACAAAAAACTTGACTTCCCCTTTAAGGCTATAAGCATACAACGGTGTCTCCACACAGCTGCCTGTACAGTACAAGATCTGCTTAGCCTGTCACATGATGCTGGAGCAAAACTTTCAACTTGGCGCTGATGAAGATGGACCCATAAGCATGTAGGTTGGCTACTTACACAACTGGAAAAACCTTTGGGAAGACAACGCTAGCTTCAGCCAAATACTCATAAAGAATTCGCTGATCAAAGTCATCTGTGGTGTATTTGACCTGGGTGGCCTGGTTAAAAAAAAAAAAAAAAAAAAAAAAGAGCGCATGGAACCATTAGCAAAAGTATGAGAGACTGCATGACTAGTAGAACACATTGTGCTTCCTCACCAGCACAGTGAGAAGGAGAGCCTGGATCTTAGGATCGGTTAGCACCTCCTCATCCAGCAGAACATTGGACTCTGAGACAGACACTTTGCGAAGGTGGGAGTTTCCAATTCTTTGTGTTTCTGGATTTATGAATGACATAAAATATGTCAGCAAATCATTATGTACAACAGAATCAAGAAAGCGCTCCCGGGTCTGACATACCCATCTCATAATCGTTTTCGGCAACCCGCCTCATTTTAGGCGGTGTTGTCATTCCGGATTCCATCTCAGATCTCTTTGGTGCTTTGGAGTCGGATATGAGATGATCAAAGCTCTTCCTGGTACCTACAAAACATGCAACCACAAGAAAATGTATTTACAGTATAGGGGTAATAAACCTGGATGAAGGATCAGAGTGCGCTCCGGATTAAATCGTACCCAGAAGCTTCTTTGTAGTCGCTTGTGAAGGCTGACCCATGTCCAGACTCATTGACTTGCGTGTACGTGGGCTGATCTGCCCCACTGTGGGGTAATGATGAGCGGAAAGGTAGCGCTCTGAAACCTGAGGGGAGGTCCACGGTTGAGTTTCTCGCAGCGTTCTGTGAGGAAGAGGAAAAAAAAGGGCAACACTAATCACAGCTAGTTGACACGAAAGCTGATGACAAATGTCTGTAAAAAAATTAGAAACTGTAAAATAAAGGAAATATCTGGTCTAAATGAACAAATCATGTCATCAACGGGCTACCTTACATTTCAATGATGGCAATAACGCAAGGTTTTCAGATACTCAATTAAAAAACTAGGACAAAAGTGATACAACACTGACTATATTTGGCATGATTATGACCAAGATTTCCATCCATTTTTAATGTAATCCAGACTTCTTGTTTGACAGCCAAAGTGTCAGTTTACGCTCTGTCCATTGGCTCACCTGCAGCTGGGATCACTGATGAGACTGGAGTAGGTGTCCATTGGTACAGGGTCCATTGAGAGGTCTGAAATCAGTAGCGACTTCCTGTGTTTGAGACTGCAGCGGCTTCGGACCTCCTCAGAAACTGTAAGAAGTGCTACAAAGAACAATCACGTTCAGATTTTTGTCAATAAAAGGAAAGCAAATCTAAACTGGACCGAATTTTGTTACGTACCAGCCAAATAAGCCACGCTCTGAGTGTTGACTTCAAACTTGTCACATTTTAGGTGCTTGCTGATGAGCGCCAGCAGCGTGTGCAGGATTCTCACTGTTCTTGCTACTGTGGTGGCTGATGGATGTCTGTAACCTGCAAACCAAAACCACAGACGGCACAAGCAAGTATATCGAAAATGTTAACTTTTACTGTTAAGTGTTCATTCAAAGTGTGTTCTGTGACATACAAGTGTATGGCAAAACACAAATTTGAAAATGAGCTCTCGTTTCCTCTATTTGGTGTGGAAGCGCACCAAGACCACCCAAAAAAGGGGGTCTCTGTCCAGTTGTTTGGTCCATAGCAGGATTCATTTGAGTGTATTCACATCTGCACAAGTCCAGACTAGCATGTGAAATGAACCGTGGACCGAACTGTGCGGGTGTAAAGACGCCATTAGATTTAATGTGTAAATCTAAGCCTAAATATAACGCAAATCTCTCCCAATGATATTCACTCAGTGGGAGTCTTTACCTTTGAGTAGGTGGCCCACAAGTGCAAAGTTGAAGTTGGCACTGAAGTTGAGGCCTACAAAGTGATCCATCTGCTTACAATGCCATTCCACTGGGTGCCTGATCTCCATGAACACCTCTTCTGGACTCTGAAGGAGACAAAAAATGTATACGTTGCTTGATGAATTTACTGACCACCTGTCATAAAAACGAGAAGAAACCATCCAGTGTCATGAAGCGATTTATTGGGCCTTCCTATCAAGAATCACCATCATAAAATCATCACACAATACGTGAAAAACAAGGGGAGTGTTACACCCCAGATAGAATAAAAAATTGGAGAACTGTAGTGCTTTTTTGTAGTAATTTTTTTTTTTTACCTTGTCATTGAAGACACGCATTGTGTCAAGAGTGTGTAGGTTCTGCTCCAGCAAAGCAGTTCCAGCAGAGTACAGGTTTACTTCATCCAATTGAAGGACTGCTACTGCCACCCAAAACAGAGCTTTATGCATAGGAGACTCCTTTGGTCAGACAGAAACAAAACAGAGAGAGAAGGATGAAGTTTAAGTTGCTGACATTAAATAGCATATATTGTACCAATTTCTAGCAAATCTGCAAAAGCTACGAATGGTTGAAACTGTCATATTACCAACCCAAGACAGTAACTCTGAGGTAAATCACATGTAAGTTACGAAGAGAACCACTGAGCATGAACTATTTAACTCATTAAATGCCAAGAGCGACTTAAGTCACATTCAGTGCCGGCTGAAAACTAGCATTTATGCTAAGTCCGGCGCATTTACACTGTTAATTCTTGTGTTGATTAATGTGCACTGTGCCCCAATGAATGAATAAGATAGATAGATAGATAGATAGATAGATAGATAGATAAGCGTTACATTATTTGTTTTTTTTTTCTTTGTGTGGGATTGGTTTGGGTCTGCAAGCAAATGAGAAGTGGTAAAGAGCCAAACTGCCAGCAGCAGAGGTGAGTGGTACACCATTTTAGATTGAAAATCCCCCCTGTTCGTCAATTGTTTACAGTAGCAGAGGTGAACTTCTCTGGAATTGGCCGCCGTTGCAACAGTCATGTCATTTAGTCTGTGGAAGTCATGAAAAAAGCACAACAATGATCTTTTTGAATTATGACGAGGATGACGAAGCAGGGTTTGCCCCAGTGCTTTATCGGCCTGGGGGGCCGCCCCAAGGAATCAGTGACAGCTCCGACGAAGGCTAAAGTGACAGCCGAAACTGTCAGTTAGATAAGAAATGTTCTCTTCAATTAAGAAAAAAAAAAAACTGTCTGAAAAAAACCAAACCTTGGACATAGACATAAACATCTGCTTTAGTGTGAAAACTACCGTATTTTTCAAACTATAAGTCACAATTTTTTTTTTTTGGATAGTTTGGCTGCTTCTGCGATTTCCACTCTGGTGCGACGTGTATATGGCTGGTTCTCAGAAAGTACCGTCCAGGAGTGTGACATGAAAGCCGGGAAAATCAATTTGTTCAAAACCAGGTCAATATGACATATGCTTTAAATCTAACCATCCTCCAGTGTGCTCTGAATAAATAAAGATAGGCCACTCAGCCCTTTATTAGCAAGCGATTGTGTGGTGGTCTATTCCACTGTGTCATATTGGCGCACTTAGTACCTGGGCACCAAGCATCCCAAAAATAAAATAAAATAAAAATAGATAGATAGATAGATACATACATAAACATACGCGTGTGTTTAAATTTGAAGAGCTTCACTACCTTCATAGAGAGATATGCAGTGGAAAAACTGGTAGAAATGACCAATAGTATTATGAAAATAAAACCTGAATGATGAACAATGGCCATCATTTTCGCAGCGTTACATATGAGGCACGGTAGACTCCAACGAATGTGTTCACTTCGCAAAATACTTCATGCTTGCAGCTGAACTGTGCGCATTTCAAATCCTGCTGACTCATGTGCAAGAATAAACTAACGAAAGAGTGCGTGCGACGAGCGTGAGATAATTTATCGATCTATTTTATTGAACGTGCGTGATGAATAAATTTGCATCCGATGCTTAACATTTAGTTTACTTGGTCGTCGTAGCATTAAAAACAAAACAAAAAAAAAAAGTTAACATCATATTTTGCACGGAACCCACTGAGCTTCCGGTTAAATTTACTAAAGTTGTTACCGCTAAAGTTTACAGAACAATGCAGTAATAGATCATCGGTGGTACCTTGTGGACACATAAGGAACCACCTTAACTGTTTTTATGGGTTCATGCTAAATCACCCAGTGGGCTCAATCAAGCGGAATTGGTTTTTAATGAAGCTTGGTGTACTTGTTGATAGTGATTGGCACAACACTAAATCTCAAATTTTAGGTCCATTGGAGCAGGGGTTTGGAAGCTGTGGCCCGACGAATTTTGACCTTTTTGGCAAAAAGTGGACCAGTTCAGAGGGTGAAGTCAGCTCGGATAGGCTCTAGCATACCCGAGACCCTCGTGAGGACAAAGCGGTTCAGATAACTGATGGATGGATAATCTGGTGGTGAAAATTGACTTTGTGCTACTGCCTTTGTTTGTCGTTGCACTGAAGTGTGAGTAATGCGAGTTGTGATTAATAAAATGAAACAATGCTGACCATAGCGATTTCCCGCTACTTGTTTATCCAAATCAGACGTTTTGTGTGTTATTGATCTGGTGTTGGATGTAGAGAGTATTGGCAGCAGAGTTTGAGTGTAAGCATTTATCTTAGCCTAGCTATGGCCCATCTCGGCTGCCCCGCTTTTGTTGATATTTCCTTTGTGCCTATGGTGCCAAGCAGACCCGGCAACAATTCATTAAGATCCCGCTATCTCACCTGGGATGTTGCAAGTCGTCAATTCGTAACCCAAGAGCACATTTCAACAATGCTGTGAATTTTTGAAGGGTCAGAGTGAAGCAGTATGCCCGCGGAGCATATTTCCGAAAGCACCCACGATGAGGCAACAGGAATTATGGGGACGAGTCTGAGCTTTATTGTTCTTGGGTTTTGAAAATACATTTCCTCCCAAAAATAGGATAGAGACTCTGGAGCCACTTAAATATGGTTGTTTTCTTCTTCATGATTAATTTTTTTGACTGGTGCAACTTATACTGTGGAGCAATTTAAAGTCCGAAAAATATGGTACATCGACTTAACTTTTCATCACAGGCGAATAACTCGATTTTGGCAAAAATAAATTAAAGAAGAACTTTGTGCTAGGGTCGAGAGGGTTTGACATGCTGATTTAAAAAATTAAATAAATAAGCGGTCCCATGCAAAACATGTTTGCAAACCACTCATACAGCAACATTTGATTAGGCGGAGAAAAAAAAAGCAGTGTGTTTCCACTAATTTCTACGTCGAAAAAAAACTTTACGGTCGGCATTTTTTTTCAAACAACCCTCTACATTTTTGTGTAGAGGGTTTACATCGGTGCAAACTCTTGCGATATTCACGTTGAGCGCGTGCGTCGTTTGCCCTGTCGTCTGTCAACAACATTGAATCATGGGGGCGGCCGTGATCTCCGACGACAGTTTAAACCGCGTTTTCTGTGTTACAGTCGCGTGCTCGCACCGTAATGTTAAGAAAATAGCATCCATTGATGTATTGAAAAAAATTCAGCAAACTATTTGATGAACACCACGGGCCGAGTAAAAACCGAGGGCGGAGGAGGACGGCGGCGCGCCTCCGCCGATCGAGTCCGGAGCGGGGAGAAAACTAAATAGGTGGCGGCGGCGCCGGCCGCGGAGCAGCGGGA